ATTCTTATTTTATGATAAAAGCCAACCTGGGATCACTCAGTATTGAAGTAGATTTATCTACATTTTTGTCTGTTACCATCAATAACAGACAGAGAGGCATCTTCATCATTTAGACAAAACTGCTGGACCGTAAACCCACCCTCTTATATGCTGCGCTGTCTTCTCCAATGAAACTGCTTTAGGCATCTTTGCTGCCCACCAAATTCAAGCCAGTAATCCAGGCAGGACTGTCAGCAAAGGAATGCTGTCTTTTAAATGCCCAGAACAAGAGACAAGGCTTTCAGAGACAGCTGAAGCTGCCAGAACACCAGCTTCTCCTCCTCACCCACACAATCATGGCATTGTGTAGGGAATCCAGCCCACTACTCTCAGTCTCCCTTTCTGCAAACCCGGCTACACGAGTCAAGTCAGGACCAAAGAGCTGAGTTTTTGGTGACAACCAGCCCTATAACCACTTGTACCAGCTGGATAAATCCAAACTGCTCATTTTCTACGGAATTTGTTTGCATGCTATCTAGCAACACCCAGAGACTGGCAAAAAAAAAAAAAAGATCTCAGAAGCCTGTAACTGAGGTCATGAAACACACAAGTAGATTCCAAAACCCACCTCTGAAATGCCACACAGTTTACAAAATGGAAAAGTTGTAAATAAGCTGAATGTTGTCAATGTACTGTTTTACACATAAAAAGATGGACTGGCTCTGAAATTTTTCTTACAAAATACAAATACACTGTGAAGATCAGTTTGGTTTTGAAACTCTAATATGTACACAAAGCCAACGACAGGCTATGAAGAACATACACTTTTGCAGTGTAACATCCAGAAATAAACACAAAGCCACACTTTTTAGAATTTATTTAAACCAGTTTAAAACTTCTATTGTGGTTCATAAGTGCCTATTGTGAAATACTCCACCCTCTAAAAACCTTACATGATTAGTATGTCAACACAAGCCACAGAACAGTCTAGTATGGCACAGTACTGAAGACTGTTAATTAATAAGACAGCAGAATCACTGAAGTACTTGGCAATGGAGGTTGTTCACAGGTACCTGAAAATATAAGGTCCAAGGATGACAGCGTGTGGGAAAGAGGAAGGGAGGACAGAAGAAAGGACCAATCTAATCCCATGTGAGAAGACCACAGCAAGAGTTTGACAATGAAGGCAGTCAAAGCCAGATTTTCAGATTTTGGAGGAAAAATGACAACAGGTCATGTAAATTAGAATACTGCAGATCAGAAATTATGTCATCATGACATGATGTCTGAAAGAACTCCATGCCATGACATTACAGTTGGTCATGTCACAAAAAGAGGACGGAAAGTTCTGTCTTTGTGAACTCTGTGTCCAAGGTAACAGTGAGGTGAGCAAGATAACATATCAGGGAAAGACAGAAGGAGAGAAGTCAGAGATAGGGATGCTTTGGAAGTCATCCATGGGTTGGTGACAGTTGAGGGAAGACAAATTTTACAGAGCAGAGTTTCCCAAATTGAACGTCACAAGGTCACAGTCACCATCCACAGCTCTCCAAGGGCTCCTGGCTGGATTAAGAATACACCTGTTATGACCAGAATATTGCCATGATATCCCCCATTCTTCTACCATAAAACAGGTCAGTAACTGATGCTTTTTGAGACAGAAAACCAAAGAACTGAACCTCAGGGAACAGCATCAGAAATGGATAAAAAGCCAATTAAGTAAGAGACACTGAATAATCAGTAAGCAGGATGAGAATCTAAAGAGTCTCAAAAGCCAGGAAAAAGAAATCCCAATGAATCAAAGGCAGTCATCAACCCAAAACCTGGAGGACAGAAAACTGTCCCTTGCACTAGATGAAGACTGCTAATGATCAGTGTGGCAGCAGCTTCACCAGAGCTCAAAGGAGAAAGGCAAAGGAGAAGGAAACAGAGATGGAACTAGAAGAAAACCAAGGGAAAGCCAACAGAGAAAACAAAAGAACAGAGCCCTAATTAGATAAATATGATATGAGCAGAGTTTTCCATTTGTGCTTCCCTTGAGAAAGAAGACTGCCAGGAGTTCGAAGCGAAAGGTAAATGAGTCAGAAAAGACTTGAGAAAAGGACCTCAAAACAGAGGGACGTGCAAATGCAGGAGGAAAAATGAGTGAATTTAAGGTTTAATATCACAGAACAGAGACTGCAAATCACGTGAAGAAAGAAACAGGGAAAATAGGAATGAAGAAGGAGAAAATTGCTACAAGGTCAGATGAAAAGAGAAAGAAAGGGATTAACTGATATTTTAGTCTAGCTTCTTATGGAATGAGGTTTGTCCAACCCGGCCATAAGTGAGGCTCCCTCTCCCCATCCCCACAGCTTCTGAACACACTGGTCAGCTTCAGTAAAACTCCAAATCTTGAAGAAAATAGAGCTCTTTGAAATTCCATGGAGATGTGTCTTCAGGGTAAAGGGGAATTAAATTTGAGTTTCCTAACTACACAAAAGGTTGTAATACAAATTCTTCCTTATTATTACTCCCCCGGTTCATCAGAGAATCAGCATGAAACTGCAGCTCCATACCGAGCAGAGCCTTCAGTGAAAGACAGACTCTCTAATAAACTTGGGTTAAACAACTGAAAGGCAGAGATCCATAGGAGACAAGGCTTCCCCAGCACTAGTGCTAAATGCTCAGTGCTTACTGAAACTTGTAAAGCAACTGGTTAAATTTTTGTATGAAGGTTGCAGAGAAAGAGATGCACGAAGAACTGGCACCAGGAACACAGGGTAAAAAGCAGATCAAGAACAGGCAGGAGCCTAGATGGTTAGAAATCGGAAGTACAAGGTAGCAATTTTCTTATCATACAAGACCAAGAACTGACAGTGTGAAAGCAAGTGCAGAGTAAAGATGAAGTAAAAGAAAAATAAACTAAACAGTCAAAAAGAGCTCAAAAGAAAAAGGGTAACATTCTTCAGAGAAAGAGTAGAAACTGGCAACACATAGGTTTCTGAGGTGGTGTCTGGTGTTGCAATCACATACTGCTGTCTGCTGACATCCAGCTCACTACTTCTGTTGACCTGAAAGCTCAGACAACTTTGAGCAACAAATGTAGCACTTAACTGTCCACCAAAGGGACCACTGGTTGATTCAGCAGTCTCATCATGTTCTTGCCAGTTTCTGGCACTCGCTAAGGAAATTGATTCAATCTGTGGAAGAGATTCCATAAAATCCTAGTCCAACCTGCTGAAGAGCTAGCATCAACAAACCCAAATATTATCAGTCTGCGGCAGCCAAGTTACTGCTTTGGAATCCTGTTATTTCTCACAGACTGACAGGTTTTGTATGTAACTAATGTTTTTTTCTTCTTCTTCTTTTAGCAGCCAGCTATCATTAAATGCTGAATTACACCATCTTGCAAATTAGCAAATAAGTGAAGATGATTTTTTTGTTGTTGTTGAGTAATGGCCAACACATTACAAGATGGATTTCTTCATGTGTTTTGACAAGTGTGATCTTGCTTTAATTATTTATGAAAATGCTTTGCAGTATGCCAATACAGGTCTTACAGTATATTTTTGCATATTTTTCAAAAATAATGAACTCTTAGGAACACGTGACCTTTCTGCCATGGTCTGCAATTACACCTCTGCTTAGAGGTAACGTGGGTGAGCAAATGACACCACCATTTGCGTGTTAGCATCTAAGTATGATGAGATTTCCTATTTAATGAAACCAGTTACAGCATATTCTTATCATAGATCTTCCTAAATGTTGATAGTTTTGTGGCATCTAAAAGAAAAAAATACAGATATGATACCCAAGGCAAACCTCAATACCAGAAAGAGATTCTAAAACTGAGGTGAAATTAAATAGTTACTTTCACTAATTCAGTATCTACGGTTATAAAATAAGGGGGGGGACCAGATTCCAATCTTTTAATTTTTTGTCTAATGACACAAACCCAGGACTATTATATTTTATGTCACTACAAGAGCCCAGTAGCATGGAAGAAGTTGAATGCTCAAAGCATAAAGTAAAAAAGGCTACCTTCACACTATCTGAAAAATATTATAACATTTCATAAAAATAAACCAAATTTGTTAATTTAGTCTAATAACTTTATATGGATATAGCACCTATCATATTTTCAGCATGCGTTAGTATCTTCACTGTACTAAACACTACACAACTATTTTAAGCTGAAGGATGAAAATCATAGGTCTTTAATTGTTAAAAAAGAACATCGCAGTGGGGTACTCTAACAAAGTTAACTATGAGAGCATCTGCCCTATGATATCTTTTCTTTAGCATTTTTCACACTACCTTCTTCCTCACATGCGTTCTGTTCACTGTGTGCACGCCTCTAACTATTGCCATACAAGCATTGTTTATCTGACATTGCTTCTCTGATGCCTGACATTGTCTACTTTTGAACTGTGTATTTTATTACCACATCCTATGGACAGTCAATTCATGCTCTGACAACCACAGCACTGAGAAGCAGCTAGCAGATGTGCCAGCAATGTAGGCTGACAGATTAAATTTTGCAAATACCAACCTCCTAATCCTTAAATTCCCAATTTGATTTGAGATTAGTTAGATAGTTAGAGACTACACCAAAAAATTCCAGAGGATCAGATCCCGTTCCCAAATTCCAACCCCTGGATACAGAGAGGTAGCAGCAAACAGAAAAGGCTGAGAGCAGCCAAAGGTCGTGTGAGATCTCGGGGAATACCTGACCTACAGATGGACAGTGAAGAGTCTCAAAGGGTTTTCAGTTTATTCTTTGATTATGTCTACATCTATGATCACATTCTCATGCTAGTCAACACTTAAGGAAGTCCCTGAAAGACATAATTTGGAAGAAGTTATGAAGGGAAATATTTCCAGGAATGATGGTAATTTATTTGGCTTCACTCATGAATAAGAATTAATTCCCAAAAGAAACTGTACAGCTGTCTTTGGAGACAATCAAGTCACACCACGCTGCATTGCTTTATCCCTTTCTAAGACGAAATGAAGGAAAGGGAGATGATGGCACTCACCTTACATCCCTCACAAGCACTGACACCATAGTGATATCCGGATGACTTGTCTTGACAGACAAAACAGGGCTTGTAAACACGAGGGGGTGGAAGTGGTGAAGGAGGGCTCGGAACAAGTTCCTCAGAACTGGTGCTCTGAGTTTCAACTGCTACAAAAGAAAAAAAATATAATAATTGAATGATTTATTAATGAAGTTTGAATAAATTATTACATAAAACTATATTACAAGTATGAAACTGGCCCATATCTTTCTTTGCATAATAAACATTTATCTGTCTTTCCTAGAAACATTTAAGGGGAACTAAGTAAGGCAAGTAATAACAGGACTACATCGCATAGCTTCAAAGTATATTTTAAAGTACCCAATAATTTAGATATATGGCTTCAATCTCTTACTAGGTTCCAAAAATGGACAACTTTGGGCTCACCTTCTGGTTTTAGCCTATTGAATTGCATGGGATCCACGTGCGCATGCTCGATATCAGCCTTCAAAGGGAAACTGTAGCATGTACCCTTTTAATCAGTACCTAATCTTGGGAGAGCTCTTGTGTCTCCTGCCTTTTTCTACAAAAGGTAACACTTCCAATCTGCAATTCTGATATAGCAGGATAGCAGCAAGTATCAGGACATACGTAAAGAGTAAGTGTGAGACCTGAAGTGAAAATTACCTGAACAACTTGTCTTTTTTTTTTTTTTTTTTTTTAAATCTGTAAAAAAGTAGCACAACCCAGTAACACTTCCTTACCTACCTTAGGACCTGTAACATCAGGAAACCTCGCTGAGAAAAAGTAACTTATATATTATGACTCCACATCCTTTTATTGCCTTAATATTTCTAGATGGTCATTTGTTTGAGCCTATTGAAAAGCCAGTTACCCCTTTCAGGGGAAGGACGTGAAAGCTCTGCGATGCAAGCTAAGACATGTGAACTACATCGTTCCAAAACATCTGCATTAGTTTTCTGTGATCTGCTGTCAGCGTTCCTCACATTTATTGTGGATGTGCAATACATTTTCATGTTTCACCTAGCCGTCTGCTGCTTCTCAGATAAATCCCTCTAACGTTCAACAAATATACAGGAATGACAGGATCTGTGAACTCAGATCTATCCAGAAATATTAGGCACTATCAGCAGAGCTAAATCTCAAAAGTACTAACGGCAGACCCTAAAGAATATTACTCAATGGAAAAATCTCAGACAAGATTTACTGTACATGATATTTTTCAGATTACAAAGATGATACATTTGTATTAAAGTCATGATTCATTGTCAACTCGTGCTACAGAATTCACACAGGGCATCACAGAGCACGATGCAACCTCTGCTCACTTGTGTGAGGAGGACTCCATTTTTCCGTGGGTTAAGCTAGTATCAACCTCAAGGACGGACATTTCTTGAAAAGAAAATAAATGCTAAAGTGAAGTAGTAAAGGGTCTGATCCTAAGCAAAGGAATATCTTTCCATTGGGACCAATTTATTTATATAACAAATAGGAGGTTGTGCAAAAAACAGAAAAGTAAAATAACATGTCTCCACAAATTGTGCCATTAAGACAACATCCAGAACTATACTCATCTTTTTCAGTATTAAATAAACTGAACTTGGCAGACCAAAAGTCTACAGGTTCCTACTGCACCAAGAAAACTTTAATGAAGTTTTTTCTTAATGAAAACTCAGATGAGAATGATCATTTCTTTTCAACAGTATTTTTTGGTATTTGAGATAGAGAGTGGTCTGTTATTGATCTCTGCACAGCCCCCCTGCTTGAATCGATAATCTCTTAGTACTTCTAAATTAAAGTTAGATTCATCAAATGTCCTTGAGAAGCCTCAAACATTCCTCGCCTTATTCCATACTCGTACATGAATTATGGTGGCTTCCAATGAGTCTATGGAATGACAAAATTTTAGCTTTAAAACTCTAATACCAGCAGACAACGTGTTTCGTATTAGCTCATTCAACTCTCCCAGTCCATCTAAAAGGCAGTTTTTAGGCTCCTCATGGGAAAACAAGGTTGTATCATTCAATAAAACAACTGCACTCCTGCAATCCTTCTGTGATTTCAGTTTGGGGAAAGCAGTCTTTGAGGAATAAGACTGATACACTTCTGCTTTATTCATAATTTCATACTAAACAAGCACCAGCGTCCAATAGTAGTGTTCAAACCACGAACAATATGTACTTCAGAGAGGTCTGTCAAGCAATGTCGAAACACCAGGAGCTTGCGATACCCAGAAGAGATTAAGCAACTCAGTTCATAAATACACAACATAGTCAGCAAGTGAGGATTTCAAGATAAAGCTGGAGAATATTTTTCAGGACAATTTGAAATTGTATACAACAACAAAAGAGCCAATGGAAATCAGAAGATCCTCCGTAGAACACCTTTCTCTCTCTCTCTCTCCATATATATTTTTGCACCACTAAAAGGGACCTAATCTACTAAATATAATACTTGCATCAGCTGAACAACCATCTAGAGAGACTGGTTGGGTTTTGGGTTGGGTTGGGGTTTTTTTTTTTGGTTGGTTGGTTGGTTTGGTGTGGTTTCTTTGGTAAGAGAACATAGTTTGGTCACATTCACTTTTGATCAAAGGCAAGATGTACAGTTTTCTGGAGAAGGTTTGAACCCAGGATACACATATTCAGCCCTTACCTCAGCTGATTTACTATTCTTTCTTGGATTTAGCTTTTTTAACTCTTTATTTGAAAATGTATGTCCTGCCAGTGTGGAAGTGCAAAAGTCTGGTGCAGGCACCTGGAGCAATTCATGCTCAGCAGGTAAAAAGTGTTATTTTTGTAACATGTTGGCAGCTAGTGAGTGCATAAAAGCAGAAGCGCTTTCTTCTATGCCTGTCTGCACATGCAAGGTGGAAAAAAGGAAAGGATGGGGGGCCAAGAGTTGACATTTACCGAAAAGGCATTTTTAAAGCAGTCTTATAGTTTTAGGAGGAATTTGGGGGGGGAGGAATAGAAAAGAAGCAACTTCTTTCCATGTCCTCCTGTCTTGTCCTGTGGGATGTGACACTTCAGGGTCCCTACTCACCTGAGAAAACCGAGCCTCAGTGCTGTCACCCAACACCTGAATGCAGCTTAAGCACACAGGGACTCTCAAACAATCGGTCACTTCACAATTCTTAAGATGTCTGAAATATTTCTAAAGGTTAGATAAAGTAGCAGATAAGATCTTTAAAAGCACAGCGTGCTTTGTGAGAGCTAATTTACTGCCAGCTAAACCGTGTTGACAGATGGAGAAGGTATTTTACTTTGAGACCAGCTAGAAGCAGGCAGGCACTATGAAATGCCTCGTGTTCTGAACTTAGATTATTAAGCTTGCATGTTAATGCACACTTTGGACAGTTGAGTTTTAAAAGAATAAGAAGTTGTAAAGCAAATGGCATTTCCTGGATAGCCTCAAGGGAATTTTGAATACTGAGCTCAGGGTCCCTGGTGGGAAGCAGCAATTTCAGCTAATTAGGGTGAATAGCAAAGTGTTGCATTTGGTCAAAACATTCTGTTAACCCCCATTTTTGTTGGCACCAACAAGAGTCTGGATTTTTTGCCTTTTTTTTTTTTTTGTGAATTCACTGCAGGAGTGCAAGGCACACAGCTCACATACATTAGGCAGAAAGTCAAAGGAAACGCCAAAGTTCAACTAAAGTACAAGTAATTAGAACCAGATTCTCTGCTGCTTGTATGTGTGCATTTGATTGTAGAAGTTATTTATAAGCCTCCAAACATTTGAAAAAATAACTATATACTGTAGATCATTTAATTTTTATGTCTCGTCTGGAAAAAAAAGTCTGCTTTTAATCATCTTCCAGGAAAGAGCCAGGAACTGGGAAAGTGGGTCTCAATTGTTTCAATACAAATTTCTTTCTTTCATGTGCCACATAAAACTATACTATAAAATTAAATCCAAAATATCATTGACTTCGCTCCCCCCTCCAATTTTTTTTTAATAAAAAACTTCTTTGAATTTGTCATGCTTAAATAGTTTGCATTGTTATGAGGGTTTGGGTTTTTTTAAACTCTTGTTTGGAAGACAGACAAGGGGAGAAGAAAAAAAAAAGAGTGAGAGAGAAAGAAAACATTATCGTGGAGACTTGCCAGCCTTGACTTAGTAACCTGGCCATGACCCTCCAGCGAGTGTGTGTTTGACCCGGTCACACATGACTCTAGCTGCGTACTGTTGCTGGGTTATAAGTCCCAGATATTTTTACCATATATACAACAGGTGGGAATCATAGGCAACAGAAAGAGGAAAACAAAATCTTCCCTTGTGGGAAGACTTCCATTTTCTCCCTTGCAAAGAAAACAGCACAAAGCAAAGAAAGTTGTGCTACTATTTCACGTACTGGCGCTTGCTGCGCTGGAGCGCTGTTTTACCCGGGGGTGGATGCGTGGAGATGGAGTGGGCTGAGGGCAGGAGGACAGAGGAAAAGGCTCAGAGGAAGCCACATGCAAACGTTAATCAATGCAGAATGAATTACCACAGTCAAAAATCTTTCCTTACAGAGCTGGATATGCACTGAGGTTCAGGAAGAAACGCTTTTTATTATAAGCAAACATGACACACCTAGATTAAAACATACAATAACTTCAGATTGAGATGTTATTATCAGGATTTTCAGAAGTACTTAGGAAAGTTTGTTTTCCACATTTGAAGGTTTTATTATTTGCATCTTGGTAGCTGCCTTAAAGCTATAATGTTAAATATATTCTATTATAGTTCTTAGTTACAATATTTCCAGCATTAATTTTAATCAAGTCATAGTTCATCTCTACAAGACTGTCCTTAAAAAAGGGTGGTATTTGGGATGAAAGCCAAAAAAACCCTCTAAGTCATCAGGTTTGCACTCGGTCTGAAAAGAAGCATTACGCTTTCAACAGGGACATCAGAAGATGAGGCTCCATGACCTTGTTTCTTCTTGAGGGTGCCCAATTCAAAATGATCCTTTTCTGTTATTTTAAAAGCTAAAAGAGTATCCCACAGATTTTCACTATGTGCTTCTCAGGATTCCTACAGTATGATTAAAATAACAACAAAACTAGCAAGAGGTAGAGGTTATGGAGCTCAGAAGCCCAATCTGCACGGACTGGATTAATGGGCAAAACTGCACACAAGGTCACCTAAAAGGAGCCTC